TACAAATAGTGAAAAAGAGAAACTGACAATGACTTAATCAATAAAATTACGCCAGTATTTGTACATACTTAAATTGTATCCATAAAAGCTTATCACAAGAACTCACAGACATGATTTCAAAGTTTACTGATATATTATCAGACTAAATATACGCTAACTTTATTCTCTTCACAGTTAGATAGACCACCATTGGCCACGTGTAGCTTTTAAAATTTAAAGTATAAAATTAAGTAAAATTTAAAACTCTGTTCCTTTGTATCACTAGCTACATTTGAAATATTTGGTAGCCACTTGTGCTACCACATTGGACAGTGGAGATACAATGTATCCAGCAACACAGACAATCCTATTAAACAGTACTGACTTGGACACTGAAATTATAAGGAATTATGCTCACTCCTTTAACACACATCCTTACTTACATCCTTGGTCGTAAATGCTGCTCACAAAGAGCATTTAACAGAAAGCTCAATACGTACCCCTGCAATTAGAGGGAGGGGGAAAAAAGAGGGAAGAGGTGAGCAGTGCTGGACTAGTTATTCTTGACAAAATAAAACATGTTCTGTAACTGTCTCTGAGGATACCTCTTCTGAGCACAAAAGGTTCATCACACATCTAGATAAAAAGCCCGAAACTGTAACTCCCTGAAATTATGCTTAGTAGCCTGGATGAAAAATATTCATGTGGTTCTCTAAGCTGGAAAGCACTCTTCAGAAAATCTAAAATTATTTAAAAAGCATTAGAAGATACCTTCCATCTATAAAATTCGGATTGGATTCATTACAATTTAGTATTTTGTTAAACGTCAATCATGGTTCTAAATGTCTTATCATGGACTTCAAAGACCATCTTACTTCCAAATCTGTTCACAGGTCTTCTTGATTAATACATTTAGACAAGTTTCAGAAAAGTTCCCCTGGTGAAAAAGTTCACCAGGCCTAGCTTTGCTGCAATGGTCGCTAAGATTCAGCTATCCAGCTGGCCAAAATTCAGACCCGTTTCCTTGCCCTGCAAATATCTGCAGGGCTTAACAGTGTCTACCCGTCACTAACATACCGAACAGACACAACCGGCACATTAATCCTAAGAGATGAATTTAAGGAAAGAGCAGAAGGAATTCTGCTTCCTTCACTTCACTTTCTAATTTTAATTAAAGAAACAATGGTAGTTATTTCACCTCTAAGTTGAAAATGTACAACGTGCTATTTTACACACTGCTATAGACTGAGTATGTGTCTTCCCAAATTCATACCTTAAAGCCCTAATCCCCAATGTAATGGAATCTGCAAGTGGAGCCCTTTGGAAGGTAATTAGGTCACAAGGGTGGAGCCCTCATGAACGGGATTAGTGCCCTTATGAAAGAGACTGAGGAAAGATGATCTCTCTCCTCCCCAAGTGGAGACACAGCAAGAAGTCAGCTGTCTGCAAACCAGACAGAAGGCTCTCACCAGACATCAAATCTGCTGGCACCTCAATGGTGGGACTTATCATCCTACAGAACTATGAGAAAAGTTTGTTGTTTTGGCCACCCAGTCTACGATATTCTGGTATAGCAACCTAGGCTAAGGCAGACAGATTGTAGACACAGATACATACATGCTTTTCTTATTAAGAAATTACAAAGGTCCAAAAATATATCTACTAATTTTTTAAATGTTTATTTTATTATTTTTTAAAGATTTATTTATTTGAGAGGGAAACAGAGAGTCTCCCGAGCAGGCCCTGCATTGAGCGTGGAGCCCAACACGGGGCTCAATCTCACAACACTAAGATCACAACCTGAGCCAAAAACAAGAGTCAGACACTCCACCAACTGCACCACCCAGGTGCCTCTCAGATGTTTATTTTAAAAGTGAAATTCATGTTGCACAAACACATCAACATACTAAACACAATAGTCCTTAAAAAATAAAACTTCCATCTCATTTCACTTATGACTCTTTTCAGCACATAGATTTATTAAAATCTATGACAAAAATAACAAAAAATAAGTAAAGATAAATAGGGAGCAAAAAAAATTATCCAAAGTTTGCCCAAGTATTGCCTTATTTATTTGACCTCCTTTCTCTTCCATAGAAATACTTACGCTCTTTGGGGATTCCGTTACAGGAATTTTCTTAGGCCTTACAAATTCTTTAACTCCTTAGCAACACGATTTATATCTTCAGTTTGTCTATGTTTCTGTTCACACTTCGAACTTGGGAAGTCTCGGCTATTATATGTTTAAGTAGGATACCTTTAGGCATCTATGGATGGACTGCAATCAAATGGCTTTGTAATGAAGTACTGTATTCTCACTGCCAGAAGACCAGTACAGGAGGCAGGAATAGTTGGTGGCCACTGAATATTAAGTTTATTCATAGATGCAAAACACAATGATCAAGAGCCCTAAGAGGTTTCCCAGAATATAAACATTCCCTTTACACTCCCTTGTAAAACACACAAAACATTTTAAAGAACTTGGGACTTAGCCTCAAATAAACCTTCCAGAACCTCCTCCTGAGTCATTTTCATCTCTGAGTACTGAAGGTGAGCCTTCAGACCATTCCATCTAAAGGGCTTCCACGGTATGCTTTTCAATGAGTAGGATAATACTTGATCTATGTAAAATTCTAAGTAACTTGAAAATAAATTCAGTACACCAACTCCAAGCTAAAGTGCTAAACTACTAAGATGATTCTAAGTGTTTTTAGCCTAAAACAGGTATTAAATTTGACTTTGAGAGATCAATGCCTAAAAACAATTAATAACCAATCCTAAACTATGCTAACTATTGAGAACACTCACCACAGCCATCTAAATATCCAGAAAAGGGGACAGGATAATACCTAGTTACTAGTTACCGTTTCCCATAGTCTTTCTAAACAAATAAAAATAACCTTTTTATTATTATATTACTCTAACTAGTTAACAAAAATAAAAACCAAATATTGTTATATTGAGATAAAGCAGGGAGGATCTAGAAATGTGGTTCTTTTTCTTGTCTCTCCTTAACTCAAAGACAATGTAGGAAGATAGAATAGATGCAGATTTATCTGATTGATGTGAGAAGAATTTAAATGCTGTAGGTAAAATACTTAGGGTAGAGGTGACAGAGCTAGAATATTTAAAACATTCATCTCAAGATACATATTTAGTTTCTAAAATAATAGGCTCATCATTGGATTTATATTAATATGTGATGGCATTTTGCCTACACAGTATATTGCTAAGATGCAATAGTAATATATATAAAACATCCCATTTTTATGATAGAAATTATTTCATGTACTTTGAATATGCTTTATAGTGTTCTAACATAAGGGATAAAAGTTTTTCTTATACTACCAACTCATCTTTATTTTGGAATAAAATAATTTCTGAAAGAAGAAAATCTGCTTCTTATTTTCAGTTGAAAATTTTTGCCCAATTTTTCTAAATTAAACCAAAAACTATGTGAGTTTATGTTTCAAAAACATTTTAGTAAATAAGTTATTTACCCATTTCTATCATCCAAATGTACTATTCACTATTCAGAAGAATTCTACAAAGCTTTAACATGATCCAGAATAAGATTAAGAGCAAAAAAGAAGTATAATCTTTAATTCTGGGGAGAAAAAAGTTTTTAAGTGCTCAAAGAATTTTCTTTTTTCAAAATTATGTATGTGTTCAGTTATAATGAAATATTCACCTGTGTTAAGTTATATCGTGAGAGTTAGCACTCTTATTATTTGAAGGAGTATTTGTTCACATTTATTTATATTACCCTGACAAAACAGTAGTTCTATAATTTAATAAAACACCAAAGTTCAAAAGTTGGGATAAATACAAAAATGCATCACTTGATATCTTAGGTGTACATCTTCCTTTATGATAACAAATACCAGGCCATGGATTAATTTAACCTTGGATATGTAATACTTGTAACACTCAAATGGGTTTGAAAATATAAACATCTCTGCTTCAGCATAAGTTTGAGGGGAGGATGCAAGTATGTGCAAATTAGTAGAAGGGAATGACTTTTATTATGGAAAGATGGGAAAAGGAATGGATCCCTTTTTTAAAAGGAACAGATCACATTTATTAAACAATTCCTTTATAAACTTTAGATCTTAGACCTAGTCGCAAAGAAATTTTGGAATTATATTCAACAACAGTCTTATTTCTTTTTGTTTAACATCTAGATACTAAGTCACCCGATTTAATCATCTTTAAGGGAACAATAAGGAACCAAAGCTACAAACAGATGGGAGTATTCTGATGCAGACTACCTGCAGTCTAACTCTACTATTTCACTGGCCAAACCATAAAACAGAATTTAAGCTAACTCAAATATTAAGGAAAAGCTGGGGAAGGGGGAGAGCCGAAAACAAGTCAAATATGCTTTCTAAGAAATTATGCCTCACTGCATAAGTTAAACATGAGAATTTCTACCTCAGTATATTTCTCATACAAAAATAACCTAACACTTACATATGTTTTAGCATATAAAAGGACATAATAGAAAAGTAGAGATTTGGTGTGTTTCTTAAATCTTATTTACTAGGAGTTCTAAAAATGAAATTATCACCCTGAATCAGAAATACTATCATCTTAAATTTCACTACATAGGTTTCTCAATAGCTCACCGAAACAAATACCAAAAATTCCCCTCACAAAAGCACAAACACATAGGACCAGTAAGTTGGAAAGCTGAAAAATATTAACTTCAAGGAGTTCATTTTAATTATGAAAAGCACTGCATTTCTAGAAACTGGTGATACTGAAACAAAATACCAATATCCATGACCAATACGTAAACTTATAATGATCCAGGCAAAATATGCATCTCGCTGGTTAAGCAGAAATACTGCTTTTTACAAATGTTTGAGAAACAATGCTTAAAATTATACAAGGTTTGAGAAACCTAAATTAACAAAGTTTTCATGAGAAGAGAAAACATCAAAGTTGGTAATAGTAAAAGGCTTTTGGCTTTCTTACAAATGATAGCTTCAGAGCCACAGAACTTTGAAAGCACAAAGTATTTTTCTAGGAAAAAGAGAATGATTGTATGCTGTGTTTCCTCTACAGTCTTTATGTATCCGAGTCGCTCCCAGACCCTGGCTCACTGTTATCCGCACCATCACTTTCTTTGTCCCAGTCTTTCATGCACGCTCCCATCATGAAATCATCACGTAAGATTGTCCATCCAGGGCCCTCTTCTGATTTCATTTCAGTCTGAGGACAATTACAGAAAAAAGGATCAAAAGGCAATTTAATCATAAGGAAATAAAAAAGCCCAAGCTACAAAACAAACTTATCAACACTTAGTTTCATAAAAGGAATGAAAACAAGACAAATCATAGTTTAATTTATACACTATGATATAGGCACAAATATGTATTAGGGCTATATGTTAACAGACTACTTTTAACCCCATAAAAGAATCATGGAAGCAAAAAAAAAAAAAAAAATTTTTTTTGGCAGGGGGAGGGAATATAGTAAAATCTAGGTTTGCTATCAATTTTTAAAATCTGGAAATCAATACAGACTTAAATATAACGTTTAGTGATGATTTATTAGAAAAATTCTGGCAAATTATTTTAAAACAAATAAAATTTAACAAAGGCTTATCACACAAAAAAGAGAAAAGGAGACTAACTTGGTACTGTGCTAGGTTTTTATAGATGTTATCTCATTTAACATTTGATAAAAATGTGAACCAAATGTTCTTTATTTAGGTTATGATCTCACTGCCTGACCTAATCATGTAATCAAAAGACTAATCACATGCTAAAACGATAAATAACTGAAGGAGGCAATAAACATACTAGGTAGTCAATTCAGTTTGCTTATCTATAGGATTTACATAAAACTATATGACAGCCTAAGAGTTACAGCCTTGCATTTCATGGTACAACAGCACCACCTTGTGGTATGAAGTATTACAGTATATGCAGAACTCTTATGCTCCGGGATTTCTTTCCTTCATTCCACAAATAGAACTGTGTATCAAGCACTGTTCTTAGTGTTGGAAATGCATTCATGAACAAAACAAAGTCCCTGTCTTCCTGGAGCTAACAGTCTATGCCTTCCTATTTATATCATTCATAAAATACAATGTTGGAAAACTCTCCCTAATTATACAAGAACCCATGATATTTGGCTAGAAAAGTGTTCTCTTTATGGAACTATTAACCATATAAAAAGCAATTTTAAAGAGAAAAGATATTAAAGACATTTTCTAGGTTACAAGAGATTATTTATCTAATTCTGCTGACGGTACCTTTTATTTTAAAAAAAAAAACAAAAACATAGCCCTGAAACAGTCACTCCATTTAGAAAAAAAAGGACACTATTACAAAACAGAAAAAATATCCTATTGGATTACCCCTGTCTTCCTGGGATCAAAGAATCAAGCAAAGCTTGTACCTAAATAGAATCTAAAGACTGGAGAGTATATAAATGTGAGCAAAGATTTCAGAATTGACTTGAAGTCAAACAGCACGCTTTGTACTATAATTTAACCAACATGAAGAAAGTAAAAATATCTGTGTTAGTTAAAAACCAACAGTAAAACAATTGCAAAGCTTCTCATCAGCCACACTGATACGGGAGTAAGCAAGTAAGAAGGGAATTTATAACTCTCCTCATGGAGTATGCTAACACCTTCTCATCCCTCATTTCTACAATATCAAACCTACCTTCCTAAAACTATTCTTGCTTCTGTTAGATTTAGTTACATAACTTGATAAAAGGCTATTTTCTTTGATTCAACTCAAGTTTTCTTTGCCAATCTCCTCACCTTAAGTAAGAGAAAGAGCTGTTCCCTTGAAGAGAACCACTTAGATGCAACAATCAAAACACCTCTCCTGCCAAATTAATCAAAGTTTTCAAGTAAATTCTAAAAAGTGTATGCTTCCTGGTATAGCCATATGCAAGTTACTGACTAGTAAAGACTTAACCCTGACATTAATGTTTGTGTTTACAAATGAATATGCACAACCTCAGTGGTAAGCTTCCATGTTCAGACAGCTGCACCCAACGCGCTATCAACATGCCACCAACCGCGAGAAGGCAGATCTCTCATGCCTGAGCTCAATGCAGACGGTTTCCACATGAGAGCACATCCTGACAGCACACTTCTAGAGTTACTCCTCTACTAGGCAGCACCATAAAAGCTGTTAGTACCAAAAGAAAGGAGGGAGGGAAGAAGGGTAGAATAGGGACAAAGCCTTCAACAGGTAGTTCAGAAAGAAAGAAAAGATCCATAGTGGACCAAGGAAAGGACTCATTAATTAAAATGTTGAGACCAACTGCCCGGCACGCTTGTCTTGAAAGATAATTATGATGTTTACATGTTTAGTATTTCAGGCAAAGAGAAGCATCTCTCAACAGTCTGATTTGAAGAATAACAATGAAGTAAAGCTTTGTTGGGGGATTTTGGTGGTACCATTTTTGTTTTTTCAGCAATCGACTGTCTGTATCAGTAATTTTCCAAGTGTGGTTCCCAGACCAGCAGCGCTAGCGTCAGTATCACTTGTTAGAAAATGAAAATCTCATGCCCCATTCCAGACCGCCTAAATCAGAAACGCTGGGGGCTAGAGGCCAGCAATCTCTTTTAATAAGCCATCCAGTGCTTCTGATACTGGCCGCCGTCTGAGAACCACCAGTCTATAAAAGAACAAATATTTCTTAGTGAGTTTCCTTCACTGCTACAAGACCAAGTACACATTATGGCTGAGAGAGGAAAGATTTTAGATTCTGGAAATCCAATGTTAAGACACCTCACGGGATGTTTTATAAATTGCCATCATCCAAGCTCTCACATTACAGTGGTATTTTTAAAAATTTTTTTAAATTTTATTATGTCATGTTAATCACCATAAGTTACATCATTAGTTTTTGATGCAGTGTTCCATGATTCATTGTTTGCGTATAACACCCAGTGCTCCATGCAGAACATGCCCTCTTTAATACCCATCACCAGGCTAAGCCATCCCCCCACCCCCCTCCCCTCTAGAACCCTCAGTTTGTTTCCTGAGATTAAGATACGGTGGTATTTTTATACTGTGAAGCAACAATATGGAGATAAAAAAAACAAACAATAGAAAACTTAGTACAAACAAGTATGGGTTAATATACTTTAAAAACAGGTATTTTTTATAATATTTGTCCTGATGGCAGCTCAAGAAAAACTCTGTTTTAAAGGCAACAGGATGACCCTTTACTTTCTATGCCTACACTTGCTAAAGAAATACACAGCCAAGAAAAAAGGTTGGGGGGAAGGGGGAGAGTCCACGTGAGATGGCAGTTTGAACATAAACAACTAGTCTTGCTCAACTGCAAAACTCAATAAAACAACAGAGAAGTGACTTATTATTTTAAAGATATAATCCACAAGGAAAAGATCCAACAGCAACAACGTGGAAGCAAGATGGACTAGAAGAGATTGTCTTGGCAAACCCGAGAAAGCTGACTCCTAAGACTGCAACTGTCAAGCTGTAACCAGCCCAATTTACACGGCAGAATCTTCAAGAAACCAACCAACAAACCAAACCCCCAGGAACGAGCATTCACTGGGTACTTTTGGAAGTGAGGGTAGGAATAGAAGGAGCAAAATAAAGAGAACTGGGTGAACCTTATGTTGAGAAACAATCAGATCTCTGGATCCCCTTCCCCATCCCACACTAGCTGGGTGGAAGACTGAAGGTTTGAGCTCTGGAGAGGTAATGGGCTAAGCACCGATGAAGGCACCGGTATAGTACCAGAAACAGAAGATTAAGTTATACCCCCTCCATCCCCCCACCCCGATAATGAGTCCCAACCCTCTTCTCACTTTGGGCTCCCAAAATGCTGGGAGGCAGACCTTTTCCTTCAGGCAGGAGATCAGGAATACTCTAGAGAAAATCTGGCCAGTTGCTAATAAATAACCCACGGAGAGAATGCTACACTAAAGCTCCTGTCACATGGACAACATCCACATGCTCACAACTTCATGGTCTCTTTGGGATTATTTGTTCTAAATCATGAACAGACAACTAAGGACTATCAGAAAGAAAAGAGAGAATAAAAAACACAAAATTCTATTAGAAATTATATATTAGAAAGCACCTTGTAGGAAAACCAAACTGTTCAAAGGGAAGAAAATTTAGGGGAAAATACCATTAATATCCTCAAAGAGTTAGGAGATTATAGTGCATCCACAAAACAAAAGCAGTTGCTATTTAAAAAGAAACATTAAGAGAATAACAAGGAGCTTGAAATTAAAAACATGATGGCAGAAAAAAAACATCAATACAAGGGTGAGAAGGTAAAGCTGAGGAAATCACCCAGAAAATAGAGTAAAAAGAAACAAGTGATGGAAAATAGAAGTAAGATAACTGGAGGACCAGTCCAGGAGGTTCAACATACAATAACAATTATGCAGAGAGAATGCAAATATGGAGGGGAGGAAAAGCAATGAAATACTTCAAGTAAATTTCCCAAAAGTAAAGGATACACACTTCCAGAATAAAAAGAGCCCTCTTGAATGTCCAAAACACAAAAGAAAAACCGAGTCACATGAAGGACATTGTGTAAAATTTCGGAATAATAGGTACTAAAAGAATATCCTATAAGCTTTCAGAAATAGAACAAACAAGTCACATACTTAGAGATGATCAGGAATCAAAACAGATACAGATTTTCCTATGAGCAACCCTAGAAGCAAGAAAGCATGAGACCCATTCTTTCAAAATGCTGAAGAAAAATAATTTCCAGTTTAAAATTCAATACTCAGATACACCATCATTCAAGTCTGAGGACAGAACAGAGGTACTTTCATACATATAAGGTACCCAGAAGTTTACTTCTAATTAAGCCTATCTTGGGAAACTACTAAGAATGTCCTCCACAAAAACGAAGAATAAACCAAGAAGAGAAAGACACAGAATACAGAGTAGGCGATCCAACACAGGAAAGAGAAGGGGATTTTCAGGGTGACAGTAAATGGAGACTCCAGCATGGTAACTGAGCATCGGGCATATAGACATTCTGGAACATGGCACCGTCGTTTTAACCTGAGAAAAACACTGGAAGATATGCTTTACCAAAACAGTGGGAATAAACCAAGAAAGAAGAAATGAGATCCAGTAAATATGAAATCCAATCCAGGAGAAATTCCAAGGATCACAAAAAATATAAGTCCCAGGATGACAACCGTGAGGCAGCCCAAGAGAGCAATCAGCCCAGAAAAA